AAAAAATTAGCTGGGCATGGTGGCGCATGTCTGTAGTCCCAGCTACTCGGGAGGCTGAGGCAGTGGGATTGCTCAAGCCCAGGAGTTTGAGGTTGCTGTGAGCTAGGCTGACGCCATGGCATTGTACACCAGGCAACAGAGTGAGACTCTGTCTCAAAAAAAAAAAAAAAAATCAAAATGACTAACAATCATAGAAGAGATTGGAGAAGTGGTTTTCATTGTTCTACTGAAGTCAGTAATAATAACAGCAACAACAACAATAATATTTTGGTAGAATGATAAGCTTATTAATTTTGTTTTTCCAAAGTCTTTAAGGGAACTTATCTGTCATCATTCAATTTATTAAAAATCAACTTTACTGAGATATACTTCAATATGAAATAAAATATAGCCATTTGTACAGTTTCATAAGATTGTCAAATGCATATACCCATGCAATCACTGCCACAATGAAAACCAGAATATATTCATTACCCTAAACATTCCTTAATGCCCACTTGCAATTAATCTCCTCTCCCCAATCTCTAATCAACCATTCTTTGTTTTCTGTCAGCATAGAATTGCTTTGATTTTTCTTGAATATCTTTCTGTTAGCATAGTATTTTTAGAATTAACACAAGTTGTGAGTATCAGTAACTTGCATCTTTTTATTGCTAACTTTGATTACACTTATGAATGTATCATAATTTGTTTATCCATTACCCTGCTGATGGCTATCAGTGTTGCTTCCAATTTTTGGCTATTATGAAAAAATTTGCTATGAATCTCCCTTGCAAATCTTTGTGTGGACTTATGCCTTGGTTTCTTTTGAGTGAATACATATGAGTGGAATTATTCCATGATATTATTTAAAGAAACTGCCAAATTACTTTACAAAATAATTGTAACATATTATACTCCTACCAGTAAGATATAAGAGTTCCAGTTGCTTCATCCTCAAAATACTTTGTCATTTTCAGTGTTCTTAATTTGAGCCTGTTTAATGAGTATGTAATGGTATCATGTGGTTTTGATTTGCATTTTTCTGATAAATAATGATGTTGAGCACCTTTTTTGTGTGTTTAAATATCATTTAGATATCTTTGGTGAAATATCTGTTCATATCTTTTGTTCATTTTTTAACTGGTCACTTGTCTTCTTGTTATAGAGTTGTAAAAATTCCTTAATGATGTATTTCAAAGAACATTCATTTTTAATTTTGAAGAAGTCCAATATTTCTATTTTTTCTTTTATGTTTTGTGTTTTTGTGTGTATATGTGCATACAAAGAAATGTCCACCTAACCCAATGAGTCATATATTTTTTTGTAGAAGTTTTAAAGCTTTGCCTTTAAGTATATAATCTATCTCAATTTTTTGTGTATAGTGTGAGGTAATGGTTAAGGTCAACTTTTTCCAAATGAATATTTATTTGCTCAAGCACCACTTCGTGAATTATAATGCCTTTATCATTGAATTACCCGACACCTTTGTCTAAAATCAATTCACTGTATATGTGTGGGTCTGTTTTTGGACACTCAGTTATGTTGTATTGACCTATCCTGCCAGTACCACACTGCCTTCACCACTTTAGGTTAGTAGTAAATTGCAAAACCAGAGGATATGTTTGACAACTTGGTTCTTTATCATTTTGATTTTACTTTTTTGGTTATTTTCATTTCCATATAATTTTAGCCTCACTTGACAATTGCTACATGAAAACTTACTGAGATTTCGGACCGAAATTATTTTAAATCTAAAGACCCATTGAACGATAATTGACCTCTTAAAAAATTGAGTTTTCTGATCCATGAACATAGTATATTTCTTCACTTACTTAGGTCAGGTCTTATTTTAGACCCTTGCTGCCTCCCAGTGTTTAAAGATTAATGAAAGGAGAAGATACTAACAAAAGGATCTGAAAAAGAGAAGACAGTGAGACGGAAGAAAAATCAGGAAGGTAAATAAAGGCAGTGCTTAAAGGAGGAGTACCTGGTAAACTGTGTTAAATGCTAGTGATAGATCAAATAAAATGAGGACTGAGAGTAGTTGACTGTTGCATTTTTCAATGTGTAATTCAGTGTTGAATATGACAAGAGGTACTTATGTGGAATAGTGGGGGCAAAGACCGATTACACTGGATTCAAGATAAAATAAGAAAGGATGAATGGAGATAATATGTATAGAGAATTCATTCAAGGTGCTTTACTATATAAAAAGCAGGGAAATGAAGCAATATCTGGAGAAAGATGTAAGATCAAAAAGGTTTTTAATTTTTAAGGTGGGACAAGTAGCAGCAAATCTCTGTGCTATAATGCTACAGAAGGGAAGGAGAGCTGGTGATTCTGAAGAAAGAGGGACAAGTGGCTGCAACTATCCCTTGAATATGCAAGAGAGGTCGTATCTAGAGCACAGGTGGAGGGCTTGGCCTGAAGAGGGCGCCTGGTTCACCCTGAATATAAGATGAACGCAGTCTGTGGTAACAGGGGCAGGTATGTGACTAGATGCTATGGTAGGGTCTTACTGAAGGTCTCTTCTGATTCTTACTTCTTTTTCAGTAAAATAGAAAGCAAAGCAATCCGCTGTCCTTGAATATGGGGCAGAAGTGTTGGAGGTATAGGTAAAGGGTCCTTCATATTGAATGAATTCCTCTTCATGGAAAAACCCACTACATCATAATTATCTTTCTTATACCTCCACAGAAAAATTCACTGTGGCATTTTTACAAATAAAAATATTTTTATTTCTATAGAGCAAGAAATACTCCTAAGTTAAAAAAAAAATAGAAGTTCAATTAAGACCAATGTGATCTCTATGAAGTTATTCATCCAGTTTGCCTACCCATGAATTGTAGGGAAGAGTAGTATAGCACATTTTGAGTTTACCTAGTGTTAAGAAGCATCATCGCCTCTCTAAAATCTTTTATGATGGTAGTTAGACCCAATGAAGAAATGAAGTGTGTAACTGATGAATTTACAGCAGAATATAATCATAGAAATGCATAGAACGTAGTCATAAAATACAGCCATAGAAACTTTCAGAAGATACCTTTTGACTGACTTACATTCGATTTATGGATTTCATTTTCTCAGCATCCATTTGCATTAAAATGCTAAGAGTATAATTTCTTTTTATTATGACAGGAAAATAAGTCCAAACTATTATTCTGTTCTCATGTTACAGCTATGCGTGTACATGTTAGTGTCTCTGTGTGCATCCATGTGCTTCTCCTGTTCCTTAGCTTTTTTTCTTCAAGCAGTGAGTCCCTTCAAAACCAATGACAAGAAGCAAACATATTAAAAAGTTTAGTTGGAGAACTCAGTGTGAAACACAATGACCATTCTTTTCCTTGCAGAGCTATTATGCAAACACATAGACACTTGTTCTCTGTCTCTGGAGACTGCAAATCTGTTGCTTGGGAGAGCAGCAACACTCTTTTGGTCTTGTTTGACTCCACTTTCTTTACATACTTACCTGTCTTTAAGAAGCCTCATGCACATATTTTTAAATATAATTTAGAAAGCCAAGCCTTTAATGACAGTGCATATGATCCTTTCATTTTATTTCCCTTTTCTCTTCACCCTAACTAATAGCAGTAGTTACTGGCATGCTTCAGAAAGCTTACGTTTGAATACAGTCTAAATCAGTGCAGACTCTTGACCGGCTTAATCTTTGCTTGCAAATGACAATGCAGTGAGACCAGAGGAAGAAAAAAAATGACTTCCTTTCCTGTTGGAAACCTAATAAGTAGTTAGTCTGACCCAGTTTTCAATAAGAGAGATTTTCTGATGACCCGACAGGAGTGACTGTCTCCAGTCAAAGAAAGAGGAGGGTGAATTTAATCTTTCATGCCACTGGAATGGCAGCTGCTCTCAGCTCTCTCTGATTCTGTGAAGGATGATGAAGATAGGACTGGATTTCAATGTAGGGAGAATTTTCCTGTTGAATATTCCAAACGAGAGCTTTGCACATGTGCTTCAAGAACTAATTGTCTAGGTTCCGTCAGGAATGCAGCAGGAGAGGAGCGTATTTCACGCTTAAGACCAGAGAAGAGCCACGCAATACTCAGTGGATAAAAGGCTTGCAGTCCCAGCTGGGAAAAAGAGTCCCATTATCTCCCAGCTGCATAGACATTCCATACGGCTTGGTTCTGCCTGGATGCACAGCATGCCTGGCTGAGAGCTTGAAACAGAGTTCTGCAGAAAAATTGTAAAGATCCCGAGACATTTCCCTGGTAAGATCTGTAAGTACAAAATTGTGCTGTCTGCTGCAATGAGAATGTTACTGGGCAAAGCTGCAGCTTTTCTTCCTTTCAATGTCTTTGTATTAGCATAACAGGTAAAACCTGGGGTTGGGGGAGAAGTCACTGCTTTATTGATGCTGTGTTTCTATGATGCTGATGCTTAAAATGCATTTATTCCTTGAGAGGGAAAAATGTATTGAATCTGTATTCGGGGGAGGTTAGGATGAAACCAGGGAAAGAGAGACTACAGGTATATTTTTCAGTGTTTCACTAGTCTTTGCTGCAGTAAAACTAATGGGCAAGACGGGATGACAGTGCTAATTCTGGGACTTTCAGATGGCTACACGCCCTTTCTGTAACGGCAGATGGGAAAATATGATTGCTAAAATTTTTTCTTTCAGAGGGATGAGGGGTGGGGTTTCTAGTGTTCAACCGGTGATTTAAAGGAACGATTATAAAGTTTCCCGGGGGAGGGTTTTGGTTAGAGTATCAAAGCAAGACTGGAGGTCACATGGGCTCACCAAATTTTGTCTGGCATTTTGCTTTTTACCCAGCCTCTGGGTAATAGCTTCTGGAGTTTCCTTTGCCATTTATACTAGTTAAGCTTGTCAGTATTAAGGTTCTTATAATACTTTATGAAAAGTTTCAGAAGTTGATGACTTGGGAACAAAACTTTTAAGAGCCCGGAGATTAGCCATGTATAACCCATTATGTTAATGGGATACTGTAAAATTGGGGTTTGGGGGGAAAATTGGAATTCATAGTTCTTGCTTCTCCAAATGAAAACTACTTATGTTTAAATAATCAGCATCCTGACTATGTCCTCTGAGAAACATTCACAGAATGACTAAATAGAAGTTATGCTTAGGAAAAAACAGGGAGAACAGTAGAATCACGCAAAATCAATTTGGAAAATGAGGTATTCATAATTTTGTCTACAGTGGCAATGTTTTCCAAAGATATCTGTAAAAGAAGGATCATATGTTGAATATTGAACTGCTTGTTTTGAGCAATTTTCATTTATCTGATGGGTTTGTTTATCATCTCTTTTATTGTTGTTGTTGAAGCTTTCACCAATTTATGTGCATTGTATTTCA